TGGGATTCAGTCTTTTACGTTATTCATCTATAATTTATAATTCACTGGAGCGAAAATTATTAATAACGATCTGCTGTGGTTTGATTAGCTGCAAGCAGGCTGTAAACCGTAATTCGATTATTCAAGCAATCGAGCATATCTGCTTCTAAGAATCGCTTCATTCAGATGAATCGCTATTTCATAAATGTGGAATCCCCTCAGTGCCACGTGCCCGTTAGTATATAGGCACCTTCCTTAGAAGATAATGAACTGCGTGAGATTGGGTTTTCTGTCTGGGAGAAGCACCCTCCCGAAAAATAATCTTTATGTCGTTTCCATTGATTAGTATTTGTTTGGCGGAACTACTTCTTTACAGCCGGACGTGAGTAGCCGAATAGCTCCGTGAACTCGACCTAGTTTTATACAGTGAAGTAGCAAAGCGTACTTTGGATATTCTTTTTATGGGAAATATCTTGTCCCGAAAGCAGTTGTCCTTAGACTGAAGGTTGCCTGCAGCATGTTGACCAACAATGAACCGATTTAGTTTTGTTGTCAGTTCGCTTTTGATCGTCATGCAGTCCATGAATACAATTACCAACGGAACTTACTAAACCACTTATCGACTACTAGTTACTTATATTTTGTCCATCAAGTGTATAATTGGCTGGGTGGATTTGGAAAACTTTTTGTCATTCATATCCGACCGGAGAGATTAGCATGCCAGTTACCATTACTCTTCTCATTTCCAAGGTTATTGTCCTGTAGAACTTTTGTGGTTACTCAGGTCACCAGAATTTCCCGGCCATATATTGCAGCAAAGTCGTTGGAATAGCTATTTGGTTTAAACGGTGACAATGATCTCATGTAACAAAGTTGGCCTTATGCTAGGTTTGGTGTTTTGTCTCCAGTTGGTGGGCAGATCACTGCAACAGTTGTACACCGAGGAACAGTTCCTGGAAAAACATAATAACTACCGAAGGAAAGTCCGCGAGGGTAACGTACCGTTTCAACCAATACCGAGGTGTCTCCGTAATCTGGTGAGTTCTGTTGGTTCATGGTGTAATGTTTGCTACTTTTGCACGTTGTAAACACTGAAGAAAAAAATTTCTAACACCTGTGTCATAGTACGGATGAACCAGATGCCTTTTGTGTTTGGCTGCTGTTTACTCTGATTATTAGTCCCTTTTCCATGAACTTTTCCTCACAAAATATTGTACACATTTGACAACATTTGATGTCTTCGCATCAGTCTTACTCTCTCGTTCGTACATCAGGTTTGGAGCGACAATCTACAGGCTGCCGCCAAAAACGTGGCTGAAAGCTGTGCCCAGAAACACGTTATTCCAGTTGGACAAGGAGAAAATTTGGCTGTCACAACAACAGCCCAAATTGAGTGAGCTCTGTCGATTTGCGCGATAAATTGCATACGCATTTCCTGTCTTTTGTTGTGAATGAACTGGTTTATCTGCCAACCACTATACATATGACTACTTTTATTGTTTATTGCTAGTGATAAAAAATGTCTTCTTTTTAAGGAGCATACCAGTTATTATAATGGAGGAAGGTTTTTTCTCAACCTAGGTGTGAGGTTTCTAGTAAAGGTCCATTGAACTGCCTTCACCTACCTTGAAAGACCGCAGAAAGTGATGTTTTCTGTTATGTGACTTCTACTAGAAGGGAGATGGATAGTACATTAAGCTTCAGGAGCGACCGTCTTTCCGAAGCGATAATTTTTATTTGGCCTCTTGAGTTTTACTCCATCCTGGAGTAAGCCACCCCACAAGCCAGTCCACTGAGGTGGTTTCTAGCGGTAAGGATTACAACAGCAAGACAAGTTTAAAACACGAATTTTATTTGACAATGTACGAGGTGTACTGAGGGAAATCAAGTCAAATCAACAAGGGCCTGGCAATTATCGGGGAATCCTTCCTTACTTTCCTAAACGGTCTCAAAATTATGCATTCAGCTCCAATCACAGACTGTGATTCACAAAAGCCAAAAGTTTTACCAGCACCGGCTGCATTCTGAAATCTGGAATTCCGCTGGCTTTTTGAGTACAAGCGGTTGTTTCAATTAACCGCTGTTAGCTGTCAGCTGGACTTATTTTCACTTTGGACATATACTTTTTCTGTTTGCAGTCCCATTGAAATGTGGTTCAATGAACAACAGAATTTCAAATTTGGACCTATAACGAATGAGAACCTGGCAACCGCTGGACGTTATACACAAGTAAATTGGAGTCTGGCTTGTTCGTGCTGTGAGACCTCACATTAGATCAACGTGTTAAAAAACTACCCTATTGTTTTTACCTACGCAGATGGTTTGGTCAAAAACAAAAGAAGTGGGCTGCTACCAAAAATTATGTTCCACCGTCACGGCAATGGGAAAGACATGGCAGAACGCTTACTACACTGTTTGCCGATATTCACCATCGTAAGTACCAGTAATTACGAGCGTTTTTCTAGTTTCTTCGATTATACAGATGGCCTGAATACCAGCCTGTGTCACAATTTTAATTGCATTTTTAGAGGGAATCTACTCGGAAGTACCCCTTATACGCCAATCAGTGATGCGTTACAGCCCTCAACAGTTGCGACAACCCCAACGTCATCGACAAGCACACCGGCTACGACAACCACAACTCCAACGACCACCACCAC